TGGTTGGAATTGCATAGAACCTGAAAATACAACCCTTCTGTTCTATTTTCCAAACCATTGACAATGATAGTTGAAACCCACATGGGACACTGAATCCTACCAGGGCTGCTGCAAGCCCACAGCACACCTGTCTGCAATCTAGAGAAAGATGTCCCTTCCCAAGGGCAGATGCAACTCTGGGCTGGCGCACATGGAATGGAGAGCAAGGGCAGGTTGGGTTTCAGACCCCACTCGCCCCCACTACTAAGCCTGGGCCATTGTGCAAATGATGACCTATTACTAATCATGTTGCAAAGACTTTTTTAACTTCTTGGGCTATGTGTGCATGAGCTAGGGTCTAGTTTGAGACTTTTCTTGGGCACATTGAATAAAGGCCAAAGATTCAGGAAAACTGAGTGACAGTTTAGTGAAGTTTTAAACACAGAAGAAAATGTCAAAGTCAGATAAATCCGAATTTATGGAGATATTATACTGTATCTAAAAGTTTTGAAGTTGGACACGGAAATGGATTATAATTCCAGCTTGACTACTTACTAGGCCACCTCACAGAAACTCAATTTTCTTTTTTAATCTGCAAAGTAATGGTAATAAGGTATTTCATAGACTCTAGACTATATCAACTGTAAGGCTCATCCTCATCACTGAGGTTTTTAGAATGTGAAAAAATGACCAAGTGGGATGGTCAAATATATCCTGATATCAGAGGTGTTAAGACTATGCAAATTGTGTATCTTAGAATCTCTGACCGATGGTAATACCCACCTGTATTATAGGTATAGAGCCATTAAAGGTAACGGCTCTTCCCTGAGAGGATTAACGTAGGTCAAGTTCTCAGTTCGGGACGGAGGGAGTTGGTGCTTAAGGAAAGGCGGAAGCTGTTGTTGGTGTGGCTGTTATTTGGTGCTGGTGACAAGTAGTAACAAAAGGACATACTTCACTCAGCTCTTCATAATCTAGCAGAATGACCTGGATGTCATCTTTTCCCTACTCCAGGGTAAGATACTAGAAACCAAGATGCACAAGGTAGGTGCAGAAGTAAACCTCAAAGGAAAATTGAAGTTCACAAAATGCTCAAAACTGAACAATCATCCTATTTATTCTGCTGATGGAGACCCAGATCAGAGAAGCAATTTTTCTGAAACCCAAATGTACAAGAGAAACACTTTTTAAAAGGATATTGTTCAAATGGTGGGTTGGAGTCCTTCTTTGAATTTGGAGTAGAAAGAAATTTGGAGGAGAAGAAAACTTCCAGAATGTTTTATTAGCTTTTTTAGTGTTTTTTCCCTTCACCTCTCACTAACACCTACTTCTATTACATTTCCTGTGATTTTTGAATTGATCACTGATTGGCTCACTAGTGAAAACCCTTCTGTGCAGCCTCCTGTGACATTAGTTCTCATTTAGGCCTGGAGGGGTCTGTGGAGGAGGAAGAGGTGCCAAGAGGTGGCAGTCAAACTCTTTCACCTGCGTCCAAAGCAGCTGGTTCCTGGACTGGTCTAGCAGTGGGCCTTATGCCAAAGAACAGCCATTCATTGCCCTTTGTTGCCAGAGACAATGCTGCCAGTGGTAGAACAGTGATGTAGAAAACCTAATGCCAGAATTCTAATAAGTGAAAAATGGCCTGGTTTATGCCACTGCCTCTAAAGCAGTCTATTTCTTTTCCCACACTTTAGGCTCAACGGCATTTTTAGAGATATGATGGATGGAAGCAGGGTGTATATGAACGTGTTCAAAACACAGCCCATGTGATGAAAAGCAGCCTAAATGTTCTCGGGTATGGGATAGGTAAATACAATGAAAATGGCTCTCCTACAGAAACAAAGACTATTATTTTTCAGGGAGATTCTAAATTGGTTATTTCTTTCATTTCTGATTTCAACTGTTTCAACATCAGGATTGATGTAAATGGTGTACAGAGAAGGACAAAAATGGAGTTCGTGGCAAGAGTTCATCTACCGAGTCTGGGTTGGCTTGTTATAAGAAAAGGAAATAAGATGGAAAGTTTGGTTGATTGATTATGCCATGTAAAAATGAGATATTATGTGGTCACTACTGAATTTACAGCCTTTAGGGATTTTTGAGAATGAAACTCGAATGTCAGCTCTAGGTCACAACGGCAGAGAAAAGGTAAATGACCTGAGAAGACAGTGGCAACATGAACTTTAAACATGTGGGCTGGTTGATCTGTAGTTCACAAATACAGCTTTCCTTTGCTCTCTGCAGGCCAATTACATGTGCACTCAACAGCATCCCACTTCTGCCTCGGGGTCCGGAGGCAGGATGTGGCATAGTTTGGGAGCGGATCTGAGTCACCATCCCACACATGTGATGGTACATCTGTGCCATGTTCCCACCTCCTGACTCTTAAATTCTCTAAAGGACTCATTGGGCACTGAAAATTCCACTTGATTTAGTTTCTCCCTAGGAAAAATGCACTCAGAAATGTCATAAATCTCCTGAAACCAGTTTCCTTCAAAGTTGCCTTGGAAATTTTAAAATACGTGTACAAGTTTCACCTTATACCTCCTTAATCTTAACCTTGTGTCTGAGATGCAGTGATGGTGGGCCACTGGCTAAGTCTCAGCGATCCACTCACCTAGGCCCCCTTGGGGGGCCAAGAGTGCATTTGAAAGATGGGTGGCCAGCAGATGGGTCTTAGTCTGCTATTTGCCTAAAGTGAAGTAAGAGTGACATTGACATTATTAGCACCACTGAACTAGCCACTTTCTTGGTAGCAATGGGTGCTTGAATCTCAACATTGGTATGAACTTTACCTGTTATAATCCAGAAAAAACAAAGGTCTATTGCCCAAGGCTGCTGCTAGCATATCTGGACCTTTTGTGTGTAAATCACAGCCATGCTTTCTGAGAGATCAATTATGGCCCTCATACCCCTGGCCCCTGGCTCTTGGGCAGGGTACACCTGTACACTGCGTGCAGGGAGCCTCTGACTTGCCTCATCTCGAGAACATGGCAAACTGGATCTGTTGACATATGTTATTGCACCAAAATTATGGGGAATTTAGAATTATTTGTGACAACAGCCCATCGTACTCAGAGTGAAAAGCTAAGTATTTTAGCCTAGGCCAATGGTGCCTTCCATCATGAGTCTATTTCATTAGTGTTGGAACAGTTTTATTTTGGTTTAGAGAGTTAGATATTTTTCAAGAGCAAAACTTTCTATTACTTTTTGGGGAGAAGCATTTTATAAAAGGTCTTTCCCTCTGATCCTCCCAGGGATGAAAACAGACCACTGGGTCCTTTGAGTCAGACGACACTGACGAGTCGGCTCAGATCCACTAAAGCCTGCTTCTCCTCCCGCCCCACCGCCCCGTCTCCCCTTTCTTCCTGGCCACCCAGCCAGGTAGGCCAGGACTGCCCTGCTGATGGGACTGGGCCTTCCCTCAGCAGGGTCTGCTTTCCTGCCTGAAGTCCTGGCACTGTTGATGGGGCATTGGTCTAGAACCAATTTCCTTATTGGTTTGGGTCACTGACCCCTTTGAGAACCAGATAAACTATGGACAGTATCTCCAGAAAAATGCACACATACACTCCTAGTCCTCAAGTTTTTTCATGCAGTTTTAGGGGGTTCAGGAATCCAGGCCAAGAAAGGAGTTTGTAATCTTCTTTTTGCCAGGGATCTTTCTGGCAGTCTGATGAAGCTATGGACTCCCTCTCAGAGTGATGATTTTAGGTGCATAAAATGAAAACATAGGATTTTAAGAGAAACCAATTATATCGAAATAGTTATCAAAATTTAAAACTTTTTGTGATATAGAAACATCTATGTGCTTTTATACAAATGCATTAAATAAGATCTAACAGTGAGTCTAATAACTACCGTGATTTTGAAGTACTGATGAGTATAAAAGATATTTTATGATGTCTGCCATGCTGTGCTGTGAAATGAAAACATCTGTGATTTCCTCTGGTGACAGGTGCTGCTAGTTCTACTGTGGTCTGCTGTCTGCATTCCTATTGAAGGGTGCCAAATGGCAGTCAGAGGTTAGAGAAAATAAAGGTGCATTTTTTCCCCCATCTAAGTTCCTAGACCTTAGGTTAAGAACCTCTGAGACTCTAGAGATTCTCGGCGTGGTGCTGGGCATGGCTCAGGGCCTGGCTGCCTCAGCCCTTTCCCTTCAGGCCACAGAAGAGAATGTGGGGCTCCTGTTTAGAAACTGAAATGACCTGAGGCTATTGTGATTTTCCATATCCTGTAGGAAAAAACAAAAGGGACACTCATAGTGGCTTTTGTCCTGTCCTCACTTATGAGGGGAGGAAAATGGGGACAAGAGAGACATAGGAGTCAGCTGTGAACAGGTAGGTAACTTCTGCCTTCCTTAGCAAGAGGTGAAGGCACAAGCAACACCTCTGCAAAGCTGCCATCGCCTGGGAGATGGGTCCCTGTGTGTCTTCTACCTTGGGATGAAAGAAACATTTTCCTCTCACTGTGACAAAGATATGAGGCACACTTTATTGAGTTTGCCCCTTGCCTTAACCTCACCTTTCCAGGAATGCTCACCTAAGTGGGGGAGCCCTGCTCATCAGCCTGTGCCCTGGAAAGACACAATGGCTCATTTTTCTTCTCATCCTCCCACTGGCTTACCGAAAGGTGCTGAAAAATGTGCACCTATGCCAAAATGCTAAGTGTAAGCTTTGGGAGGTGTAAAAGTGTTTCACAGCACTTGAAAGTACGAAATGTCACTCTAATTGTGCGGTTATGACTAGTTGAGCTACTGTTGAAAAACACCAGGGACAAGCAAAACTTTCTCATTGGGATGCTAGAGCTCAGGCCTGCATGAGGATGAAGCTCAAGTTCTAGACATAAGAAAGTACTTTTCCTGATGGATGGTAGGAGAGATGACAGCTTCCACTCTCAAAGTGACTTTTGGCAGGGCTGTCCTGAAACTAGGCTTTGTGGCTGTTCGGAGGCACATCATGACCTGATTTTCACCAGGAAAATGGGCTGTGAAAGAGGCTCACAGAGTATCATCTGCTTACCAATTTTACTTCTTGCTTCATTTATACTTTCTCCCAGGGCCTTTGCTTCAGAAATTCTGGAGGGAAAAAAATAAAAAAAGAGTTTAATTTTTTCTGTTCATCCTAAATTATGGTTTAAAAATAATAGATTTCTGAGAGCTCTCTAAAGTATTATAAAACTTTATTGAAAGACACAAAAGAAAATCTAAATAAATGAAACATATTAGGCTTAAAAATAGAGATAAAGTTTGTATTAATTACTGGTATCATGAATTTTTACTCCTCTGTCCAGCAAAGAATTTTCGTTCTCAGATTCTCTAACTTGACTTTCGACTTCCTGTGTTTTATGATGCACGGGTACCAGCATAAAGCATGGCTGTGAACCTTCTGTACTGTGCTGGGCTCTATTAATCATAGTACCAAGATCTCATAGTCAAAGAATGCATTCTTAATATAACTTAGATAACACTTTTTTTTTCTGATTATAAAGTAATATATCAGAGCTCAGCAAACTACGGCTGATCATGAGACACAGCCGGCCCCCCACCTGTTTCTGTAAATAAAGTTGTACTGGAACACGGCAATGCCCACTCAATTGCATATTGCCCATGGCTGCTTTCATGTTACAGGGGCAGAGTTGAGCATGTGACAGAGATTGAATGGCCTGCAAAGCTGAAAATATTTACTATCTGGCCCTTTACAGAAAAAGTTTGCTGACCCCTGTTATGTAAGTTAACCAGATTTCAAAAATATAGAAACAAGGAAAAATATCCCTAATAATCCCCTACCCAGAAATAAGCACATTTTGAGATCCATCCAGTCTTTTTTCTAGCCAGTTTTTATAGAGTTAAGGTCAATACCATATATATATGATTTTGTGCTTTGATTTTTTTTGACTTAGCATTATAACATAAGTCCTTCCCTATGTCGTTAGAAACTTCTCCATTATCTTTGATGGCTGCCTACTAGTGCACCAGATGGTTGTGCTGATGTTTACTTAATAATTCCTTTGTGTTTTCCAACGGATGTTTATGAGACACACACCGAGACCCCAGCCTTGTGCTGGAGAAGTGGATATGGAACGAAAGTAGAATATCGCCTGTATGAGAAACATGCAGTCCAGTCTTGTACACACAGTGGGCTCTTAAGAAATGTTAATTGCTTTCCCCGCTTCTCCTTTCTGCCATGAGATTTAGGAGGCAACTGAAAATCTCTGGAACAAATACATAATATATGGCTGTAGTAACTCATTGTGCTCCCGTGGATAACACTGGCCACGCCATTAGTTTGACTAGGGAGGGGCCTATCCATGAGTGGGGAGTAGTTAGGTAAGCGTCAACGTACAAGGTAGGATCGACCTGGGTTTTATGGAAGCATAACAGTTTTTAGAAATCTTTTTATTATGGAAATTTCCATTTATACACAAAATAGAATAATAGAATGAAATCTCACATACCCACCCTCGTATTTCATTATAATTGCCAACACTTGGCCAATTGGATTTTAACTATCTCCTTTCTCCCCATCTTCTCCCCAACCCGCAAATCTTTCGGGGTCCCAGTAAATCCCAGATATCATATTGTTTCATCCATAAATGTTTTACTTGTATAGGATTTTGTTAGAGGAAGTGGGGAGAGGAGGGCATTCCAGGCCAGGGACAACATAAGCAAAAGCCAGAGTACCACGATTGCTCTGTGCTTGATGGAAAAGTGTGAATTACATCACTGCTATTTTCCGAATCTGTCTGCTTGGCCTGTGACTGCAGAGAGGAAGTTTCCAGGGAAGGGGACTAAATTTTCTCTCACATTAAGTTCTTGGGACTCCACTTCTGGCTCCCTTATTAAGGGTGTTCAGGCTTATCATAGATTATGTATGTCGCCTCTTCAGCTAGGGCCTGTCACCCTCCAGGAGAAGTGCAGCTTCGTCTGATGCCATTCAGACTGAACTCAGTTCAGCAAACATTCACAGGATGTGAGGTTATGTGCTGGCCCCTGTGGGCTCACAGTGGCCTTTGTCTGCTGGGCACCTATAATCTGAGGTTTGGTCCAGGCCACCCAGAAGATGAGGACTATCTTCATACTTTCGGTTGTGCCAAGTCGGGGGACTGTAACTGTTTGATCGCCGCTCTGTCCATCCCCATGTCCTAGGATTTCACCGGATTTGATAGCCCTTCATTGTTCAATGAATGATTCCTCTTATTACTGTCGAGTTCCGGAAGCTTTAGATGCTGGGGAGTAAGGAAAATACAAGAGCAAGGCTGCAAAGCTGCTCAAACTCAAGTCAATGCTGGAGGAAACCAGAGCAGAGATGGAAAAGGGAAGATACTGCAGGCAGAACAGGCGATTTCCACAGCAGCACTGTTCAGGGAAGCTGCGACTGGCCTGGGAGCCCCCCGGCCTTGGTGGTGCCCCAATGTGTCCAGGCGGGCAAGGCAGAGGGAGCAGCTTAGTGCTGTGGTCAACCCTCTCCAGAGAGCTGCCCGCGCCAGGGCTGGCAGACACTCAGGGGGAAGCCACGAGCCATTCCAGTCTCCTCTGCAGCCCAGCGCCAAGCTAAAAAGGGCTTTCCCACTGAAGAGGTGTGGGCTGAGGGCTGTCCCGTCTTCATGAGACCATTTTGCCTTCATTCTGCAGTTGTCACCACTCCAGGCCACCCCACCCACATGTGTTCCTGATCCTCATTGTCAAGACAAACTCTTGCCTAAGGAAGCCCAGCCCTGAGGGAGAAGAGGGGGGAAGTGTAAGGAGGTGGGAGAGGTGAGAAGGAAAAGGAGGAGGCTACCAAAGAGAAGAATGAGAAAGAAGGTGACTCCCCCAGTTCTGCCACGTTTTTCCTGGCCCACCCTGCATCTCCACACCTCCTCAGCCCAAGTCCCCTTCAGTCCCACTTTCCCCCCTCCTCCTACCCTAGTCTAAGTTCTGCTCATCAGCACTTTGCTGGGGGAGTCGCCCAACTCCTGACCTTCTAAAAGAGGCACATTCCCACTAATGATGTGGCTCAGGAAGCCAACCTGTGTCCAAGGTGAAGAACCTATGCTGACTCCTCCCCCCAGGGCACGTTGCACCCCTGGCCCATATCCCAAACTGCTGCTCACCGTTGTGGTGCGTGGCCTATGTTGGGGAGGCTGCACCTTGAGGAGGGGCACGGAGAAGGCTCTGTGACTCAACAGGGACCACCCGTGAGCCCCTAAGGGTTTCTCCCTACTGTGCCAAAGCGTTCCTATCAGGGAGTCACTGGCTTCGTGGCTCATTTTGGAGAGCGCAGTGTTGCTGGGGGCAGTTCCAGTGTGAGGAACTGTTATCGTGGGGCAAGGCCTGGGTTTGGAAGGGAGAAGGAATGTACTGCTTGGGCTGTTCTTTCACAGCCTGGCTTCCTGTGACATCCAGCATTCACAGATCCAACTACGCCCATCGTGTGTCCCGCACTGTGCCAGACACTGTCCCCAGAGCGAAAACATTCTCTTTCATTGGCTTCCACGTCACATCACCCATCTCTCCTGTTTTTTTTCCCCCTCCCTCCTGTTTTTTTCTCCCTCCCTCCCTGGCTGCTCCTTCCAGTTACCTTTGCAGGCTCTTCTTCTGCAGCCTGTTCCTTACTTAAACTGGTAATCATCAGGGTTTTGTCCTGGGCCCTCTCCTCACATTACCTATGCACTCTAAGCATTTCATTACAGGCTTGTCTCTAGGACATCTCCCAAATCTCCATCTCAGCCCTGCTTGATTTCCTGACCCAGTATCCTATTTCCTGACCAGACTGCCTATTTGATGCCTTGCAGCTAACTAACATTCATTGCATTCAAGGCAGAACTGATTACCTTCCCTGTAATCCCCTTCCTTCCCTCTTTCCTCACGTCATTGCAGGGCCCCAGAACTCACTCACGTGCCCGTGCCAGTAACCTGCACACCACCCTTTGCCCCTCTCTCCATTAGCCCCTTCACTCAACCCTGCAGTCCCATCCATTCTACATCCTCAGTATCTATCATAAAACTCCACTCAGCTTGATTCCCATTCTGCCTTAAAGAAGCTGTCATCTCTCTCCCCCAGATTCCTTCAACAACTTCTTGTTGAAGGTAGCATTCACGCTACCTGCCTTCGGGCAATTTCTCTCATCTCAGCCTGACAGAGCCTTCTTTTTTTTCTCTTTTTAAAATTTTTATTTATTTATTTTTTTCCCCCAAAGCCCCAGTAGATAGTTGTATGTTATAGCTGCACATCCTTCTAGTTGCTGTATGTGGGACGTGGCCTCAGCGTGGCCAGAGAAGCGGTGCGTTGGTGCATGCCTGGGATCCGAACCCAGGCCGCCAGTAGCGGAGCACGTGCACTTAACCGCTAAGCCACCGGGCTGGCCCTGACAGAGCCTTCTTAAATGCAAACCTGATCTTGTTATTCTCCTGCTTAAAACTCTTCAAGTGCTCCCCAGTGACCTCAGGACAAAGTCCAAATTACTTTACACGCTAACTAGACTCTCGATGCTCTGGCTCCTGCTGACTTCTCTAGATTCTTCTCTCATATCCCCCTGCCTTTCCAGGCTGGCCTGAATTGCTTTTGGTCCCATCAAGTGTCACACTCTCTCTCTTTGGGGCTGTTTCCTTTGCTTGGAACCTCTCTCTTCATCTGGCTAATTTCTACCTCACTCCGCAGTTTCAGCTGAGATGTCTCTTCCTCTGGAGCTTCCTAAGACCAATAGGTGTCACCCCACGTGCTCACGGCACCTTGAACTTCTGTCATCACACTGTATTGGGAGTGCCAATGCTTGTTTGTTTCCACTGGATATCATGAGTGCCATGAGGGTGGTGACTACATCCGTCTCATATTCCTGGAGCTTAGAACAGGGGCTCGTACTTAGTAAGCATTCCATACATATCTGTAGAATAAAAATGTACACATGCATGAGCATGTGTACAAGGCAATGTGTGCAATGTGGAGAGCACTGGATTGGGAGTCAGAGACCTGGATTCGAATGTCCACTCTACCTGAGCTGGATCTCAGATTCCCCATTTCTAAGGTTAGGATGAGATGCCTCTCAGAGCTGGGTTGATATGGAAAGCACAAACATGCAAATGTGCTTTGTGATTGTGAATCTTGACCACTGCCTGCCTGCAGCATGGGAACCCTGTGGGGGTGTGATGAACTGTGAGGTGTGATTCCACGTTGGAAGCAGTAACCACAGACAATAATGGATGAGTATCATTCTCTCAGCAAACCAGAGGGTTGGAAGGGCAGCTCCTTGCAAGTCAGTGGTCAAAGTCACCCATGACAGTTGTCAAGTTTCTCATCTTCGGGGAGAATGAAAGGGATGGGGGAATTGAGATAGAATTTCATGTAACTTCCAAGACCAGCTCCTGGGAGAATACCATCCTACTGTTGATGTGTGTCGGGCAGAGATATATGTCATCACTGGAGGAGCAGCTGAGGATGCCCCACACCTGGCTCTGCTCCAGGGCAATGAGAACCACAGCCAATTTACTGGGGACCATGGGCAGCGGCTGCTTTAAGCTATGGGCCACGGAGAGGAGCTAGTGTTCATAAGCCACTCAGTCTCCAAGAGCCTCTGCAGTCATATTCCCTGTCATGTCAGCTGGGATGGTTTCTTCAGGCAGGTGGGGCAAATATGTCACTGGAGGGCAAGGGGCTCCAACGACATCTTTCCTAGCCTTCTTGTCTAGGGTGATTAACTTAATATGTTGATTATTCATAGAGTAAACATCCAATACTCTTCCCCTTCAGAGAGGAAGAGAGAAGACTGGACCTGTATCTATGCCATTACCTTCTCTGCAGACCTGTCCCTGACATGGTACCTTGGCTGCCTCTGTTATATTGCAATGAAGACCCACCTTTCATTTCCCTTACACTTTTTTTAATACCAATATTCCTTTTCTATTCATCTCATTTCCCCATCAAGATGCTGCCTTCTCTTGTCTCCTGTTGAGCAGTTCCTTCCTTGACTCTCAAGAAGCCTGCTGCTGCGTTCTCCTACTTCTAGGAAGCTACAAGCATTCTCAAGCAGTTTTCTTGACTAAGATGTCTCAGTCAATCTCAAATTGTCACTCTCAAGCAAAAAAGGGTACTTTTTGAGTACCCTTTTTGTGGCCAGCACTGTTTTAAAAACCATGGGGAAACTGAAAAGATTCTAATCTAATCTCAGAGTTTATAATTCTGGTTCAGGAGACAAGGTGTAAATACAAAAAACAAACGGAAAAATAATAAAGGTTAAAATTGAAGTCTGATTGGAACCAGGGAACTCCTATTTGTCACGGACGTTATTTCCAGATGCTGCCACGAGATTTCTCTCCACCTCGGTCCAGTTTTCCTGTTGGTTTTAGATTTCTGTTCTCTTCTCCGTCTGAAGGATCCAACTGAGTGAAGGGACGCTTCTCTTGGTTTAGTTCACATTATCAGCGCCTTCCTTTCCAATTACAGTTAACTTTCCTGTTTGTGAGAAGTAGGGAATGAAATGCCAGGCCAGGCTGGGTCTTGGCTGCTGAGGGCTATTAAAAGGTGAGATTTCTAAGAGAAAGTCCATTAGAAGTAGAGTTAGGAAATAATAATTTAATGCCATCCTGAGTAAAACTCCTCTGGTACATGTCTGTATTCCTAGGGCTGGCCAGTCCCCCCCAAGATGGTCCATATGATGCTCTCGGTCACGAGACGGAATGGGAGCCAATGGGGAGGAGATCAGGGGTACTGCCGACCATTTCCTAAAGTAAGGGTGGCCGGAAGTCACCCCTATAAACATCTGTGGGGCCTTATTTTGATGTCTGCTGTAGGAGCACTGGTTTGCAGTTATTTGTTTTCATACAAAAACATTTTCTCTTGGTCCTCTGCTTTCAGCACTTATGATCATGTACTTATCTGATAATTGAATACTCTCCATGAATGCAAACAAAAACTCCAATCTTGAGAAAGGGGTAGGTCCTGGATTACACCCCCTGGTACCAAATATTCCTTTAATGATTGTTATTACGGTAATATTAAACAGATGGAGACTGTTAAAGAATGTGGGCTGGTCTCCTGACTTTTCATTTGATTTAAAAAGACTCATTTACTGCTGGGAAAACCTCTTTTCTGAGGAAAGCTTTGTACAAGTTTCGTTACCTTTGCTCTACGGCCACAAGGAAGATGGGACCACCAGTATTACCAGCCCATCTTGTGTGATTTAGATGGGTTTAAACCCAAAAGCACATTTGTCACTTGTCATGACTCTAGAGTCAAGTGGGCTCTGTATAGAAGGCTTCGAAAGACCACAACATCCTCATCCCTGCTTCCCCCCGACCCATCTGCCTCGCTGGGAACAGACCTAAACTCAAGGGTACAAACCAGAACCAGGAGCCATACCAGTTCTAGAATAAGAAAGATGAGATATTATGTTCTTCCTAAGCCAGTGGTTCTTGAACTTGAGTGTGCAAAAGAATCACTTGGTAATTGGTTTAACCTGCAGAGTTTTGGGGATCCTACCTCAGAGGTTCTGGATCTCCAGGTCTCTGAACACTATCTAGCCAGTGGTTTTCAAACCTGGTTGCACACTGGAATCTTTAAAAAAGCGAATGTTCAGGCTCTACCTAATTAAATCAGAGTATCTGGGGAGTCAGATCCAGGCGTTGGTAGCTTTTACAAGCTCCATGGGTCATTTTAATATGAAGCCAGGGTGATGAGGCGCTGGTGTAAGCTATGATGCCTCGGGTATAGACACAGCTGAGGGCTCTTGGGAATCTACTATTGGATGAGGCAGCTGTCATCTAGCTTGACATGCTTATCTTCAGACAGACAAGGTAGCCTGTTATGACATGCCTAACTGACTATACTAGAAATACATGGCCTACAGCATGGAGAAGCAGAAGGTTTGTGAAATCCCTGTACATTTGTGCAGATGCACACATGTCCACTTTTCTACAGAAAGAGTCCTCGGCTGTCCCTAGATTCACTGCATTTTCTCTCCCACTGCTTAGTGTTACTCATTTATTCATTCATTCCTTTTTATCTCCATGTCCTGCTCCCATTCTGCTCTCCCACAGAGATAAACATTCTTATGGTTAAAGTATGCTAAAGTATATCTTTCTGTTTGGCTGTCTTTGTTTTGTGTGCATATATTTACAATTTACATAACTTGTGGGTTCTTAGTGCTATGCCTTGAAGAGCCATCCTTGTTGGTGTGTGTACATTAATCCATTGCTCCCACCTGCTGCACTGACTCCATAGATGGCTTCCCCAATATTTTACCTCTCCACTGCCCCAGTGGTGGACACCCAGGTGGATTCCAACTCTCCTTGGCCACAAACAGCTACTGGGAACACCCGCATTTGTGTCCCCTTCTGAACTCTCATGAGAACTTCCTGGGAGATACACCGGGAGTGGAATTGCTGGGTCACAAGGGCACATATGCTTCTTTGGACTATGAAGGGCTGGATTGGGCTACACAACGGCTGCTCCCGCTACACTCCTCTCACCTTTGCTTTTTCCTAAAATGATCTAAGACCCCCTACTCAAGTGTAGAAGCCATTGGTTAATAGACTAAGCGTGGCCCTCAATGCTGCTTGCCTTTCCTTTTTGCAGCTCTACCCTCTTCCCCATTCCCTGTGGCTGCTGTATTAAACCTTCCTCAGCATCCTCAAGTCTCTTCTTCCACCTCCACTTTCACAGAGAAAATAGGTCATCTTGAATTTTCTCTGTCCTTCTAGATGTATCTGCATCAGTTCCCTCTTGCTTTGTTTTCCTTTTCAGGCCTCCTTCCAGGCTCGCCTCCCCCTGAGCTTTTGCCCCCCTGAAGCCTTGCTGGGTCACTCTTTTCCCTTGTCCCGCTGTCTTTCTTGCCCCTGGCTTGCTTCTGTGGCCTGCCATCTTGGCTAATTCTCCCCCATCCTGAAACAAACTTCCCTTCTCCCTAAGCTCCCTGTCTTTTTTCTTAAATGTTTTTCATCTACCCCAAACTTTCCGAACACATCGTTCACTCTGTCTGTCTGCTCAGTTCCTTCTCACTTGCTCCTTCACTCCCAGCGCTCTAACCCGTGGTCTTCTTGTTGCAAACTCCATGTGCACTTTCCGGCTCCCTCTGCTTGTTTCCTTGTAGCAGCTGACACCACTGACAACATGCTTCTTCATGGAGCAGTCTGCCCTCTTGGCTTCAGGACAATAGACTCTCCTGTTCTCCCTCCTCTCTCTCAGCTTCCACTCAGTCTCCATCATGGCCGCCTTCCCCTCCCTTTCCTTTAAAGCTTTCCCCTGTGGTTCTACCCTCTGGGCCCTGCACTCCCACAGGTTTTCTTGAGAGAGCTCATCAACTTCTCTGGCTTCCTTAAATTGTCATTTATAAGCATATGACTCTCAATCCTGTATCTCATTTTAATTCAATAAATAGTTTTTGAAAAGGTACTGTGTGCTAAGATCCAGAGTCACATGTGACATGTAAGAGTTCACAGTCTAGAACTCTCTCTCTTGAACTCTAGACCCATACATCCAGCACTCTTTCTGTTTGCTACAGTTTGAGGATATGCATCTAATTCACAGATTAGCTGAAACAGATTATGTACCTCTGAGTTTTTTCTAAAGGGTTCAGAACACAGCCTTGCTTGACAACATGTCAGCAAATGATCCTGCTGGCTCTGCTTCTGGCCTGGAGAACACACTGAAGGCCTCTGGCTCACAAGAAGTGTGTGTGTATACTTCCTTTGACTAAGAAGTGCAGGACTTCTCTCTAGAACAGCTGGAGGGCCTGGAGTTCTAAAACTATAATCTAGTCCATAAATTCTTTTCCTGCCTTTGGAGCAGTAAGATATTGATAAGGTCGCAGGCTGATCAGAATTAATGTATGACATGAGAACTGTACACAGAGTTAGTGCTGTCAGTAACAGACCCTGTCCTGATGTTGCTTACCCAGCAGTGCTGGGATGATAAGGCTTACACATGTGAAAGAGGCTGGATGTAATTCAAAGTGAGACTGAATAAATGTTAAGCCCTTCTTTTAAAAGTTAGGTTGGGCAGATTAGGGAGGACGGAGTAGCAAGTTTCCTCCAGGCTGGCCCAGCTAAGCCTTGGAGGAACAGCTGCTCTTGGAGCCAGCCTTACCTCTGTTTCAGAATCTGCTTGTTGTCTTCGATGGTAACGCTGTCAGCATGGTCCCTCTTGAAGATTTCAAAAGCCTCCTGGCGTCCTAATGACATTTCTTCTCTCATCTCTGTTTGGAGACACAGGGAAACGGCCTCAGTCATGGCATCGGGATCTCATTAATTTCATTGTCACTTTAGTCAGACCACAAAGCCAGCCCTGGCTCCGAGAGGCTGACAGCAGAGAGCCTCCTGACCAGACAGGTGGCCCCAGGCTCTTCCAGCTGGCCGTTGACCCGCCGCAGAGGCCCTTCCAGCGACACCCGCTGCACCCTGCAGGACCGTGCCTGCGCATCCATGTGACTTGTGGGGGGTGGAGTTTGGAATGTCTGGTCAGAGGAAATGAAAACCAGAGCACCAAACCCGGGACTGCCCAGAACATCTGCAAAGGCACTTTCTGCCATCACTCAGTGCCACATTTCTCCCTGCTTCCCTGTTATGCTCTGTTTTGGTTTTCTGTTAAATTTCACCCTGAATTTCCAGGCATTTAGTTAAAAGAAGTATAATCCAGACTGAAAGATTTAGAATCTAGAAGAGTCTGCTCTTAGTCTCCATAGAACAACTCCTCCTTGTTTCCTGTGGCTTGTGAGGGGCTTCAGTTCTACTCAGGAGTTAGGTTCTCAATGGCAAGACCCATGAGCAGACCATGGGGAAGGTCCCTAGGTGACGTCTAACTTCAACTGCCTGTATCACTATTGCCACTACAGGCCAACCCTCACTGCTGGGCCCTGCTCAGGGCCAAGTTCTGAAACCCAGATTCAGGACAGCCAGGGCCCTTGGAGTAAGCAGGTGGCATTCCTGCCTCAAGGCTCTCTTCTTGCAGCCTCCCAGGGTGGGGGCCAATGCAGCTGTGTGCCTGGGACTCCCTTGGCGAGAGCTGAATTCACAGCTGGATTTTGGATGAATCTATGGAGTCATTTTTTTATGCCTCTGCCCTTAGTTCCTTTTCCTATATTTTCATCCAGTTACCTCTACTTGTCTTTGAAGCCCTGGGTGGGTGTTACCACCTCCATGAAGCTTTCCCCAAGGCCCAGACAGAACAAATCCTCCGTCTACTCTGTACCTATCAATGCATCTGTAACAGGCACAGCCCAGTAGGCACTGTCACTTCACATGACAATCTGTTCTGGTGAAATGCAAGTTTCTAGGAGGTAAAGATAATATTTTTTGTGGACCTCTAGTGTCTTGTTTAATGCCTGGCATTTAGAAGGTACTCAACACGTCTGTTAAATGGATCAGGTCAAGAACGAACTAAGAGTGATGATGAGCCTTGCTCTAACTGCCATAGGAACACAGTCCAGGGCTAGAGGAGTTCACTATGAGGCCTAGGGTTCCAGAGATGCATTCATATGGGCCACATACCACATCTCCTCTTTCCTGGAAAAACCCTGCTGAGTCCCATCACTCAGCCTCAGGGTAAGGAACTGGACCAGCCCATCTGACACCAATTTAATGAGGACTGTTGATAAAAATAGCACCATGAAGAATGTCTGAATGGTGAGGCACACAAAGACACCCCACCCTTTTCCAATCAGAAGCAAATGGGCATGGCTCAGTTCTGTCTCCACATCTGCCCTGCACACTCCAGAACTGGGTGGGCCTGGGAACGTGTTTCTGTGAGATTTGGAAAGATAAGCCCTGATGTGTGAGAGACATTAACTGGGGGGCACTTTTCATCCAGCAGAGCCCACCAGGAGCCAAGGGATTCATTCCATACCTCTCCCAACCCGGGTCTGTGCCCAGTTCTAACAATGTATGCCTTTTACTGCATAATAAAGTAACAACAGAGGGTAGAGGGATTGATTATCTCTGGATAGAGTTAGGGAAGAGAGAAGCTCCACAGAGACCACATTGGAGTCTGCCTGTGGGATCCCCAAACGGCCTCCCAAGAGGGGGTGATGAGAAGGCTTCCACCAACCAGTAGCACAGGGATAGGGGAAATAGGATGGAGGGTTTCTCAAAAAGCTACAGTGAAGGAGAAGCTTCATGGCCTTTTCTCTCCCAGGCTCTGCTTTCTTGCAGAGCTAATAGCCTGAATTGACAGATGGGTGGAAAGGCCATGCTGAGGTTTCCCAGTGCCTGTGGCACTGACAGCAGTATGTCCTGGAAGAACTTATAATCAGCTGAAACCCCCCTGGGTGTTTCCCAAAGTGTGGAGGGGCCTGGGTAGTGGCAGCAGGAAGGACATGAGGTGCATAGAGGAGATAAGCCCAGGAAGGTAGTTTGGGATCATTTTGCAGAGAATCTTGAAGGTCTTGTTAAGAAATTTGGGGCCACTGCCATATCATATACATGAATCACCAATCTTCAAAGACTTAAAATTTAGTAAAGTACATATTCTAGGAAAGTCACACTGGGAGTATTTAATACTCCTGGTGATTTAAATGGCACTTGGGGTCCTGCAGTGCCAGGAGTTGTTGTCAGGAATATGGTATCAATTTTCCTCCTGCTATAATGGAGGAAGTATCCTGGAATTGGAGTTCTTTGATGATGGTGACGTAGGTGAGTGGACATTAGTGTGACAACTACAATCCTGGCAGCTAGCATCCTAAGTGTCTGCTCAGGGAGGCCAAGGGGAGATAGCTGATGATGGCCATAGTGTAGAGGCAAAGAGGCAAAGCAAGGCCTGGAAGCCTACTTCATGGCGGCCACACGGAGGTGAGGCTGAGCTTCTGCAGAGAGGGGCACAAGGGCAGGGCTCCACGGGCAGCTGTGCTGTGTGACCCCAGGCTCCATCTGAATCCTGCCCTTCACCACCTTCATTCTGCTTCTTCAGAGCCCGTATCCAGCTCCTTTTAAATTGTACTAATATACCAGTTCTCACTCCAATTTGGGGTCACCTACAAAGTTAATGAACACCTTTTTATTTACTGAAGCCATGTCTCCACTTCCTTTTCCCTCTCAGGGTTTAGGAAACAGCTTTCTCACATGGCAAGCTCTTGCCCCTCAGCACACGTTGTACGCATTAGAAAGAGCCAGCACAGTGGAGCACGAGAGGAACCAAAAGCTCACCTTGCAAATGGAGATAATCATCTATCTATTTACTTTCTCAACAAGTATTTATTTATCTTAGGCACTGTGCTAGGCATGTGACAGAGATATAAACTTGAACAAGAAGATGAAAGTGTGGATCCTTGACCTTAAAGAATTCCAAGTCTAGTAAGGGAGCAAGAAAAGTGAACCCACAGTTACAATGGCAGTTGCTGCTCGCTGTCAGGGAGGCACGTGTCCAGGCACGGGCCACAGGGAGGTGGGGGGTCGGCTCTGCCAGGGAGAGCGGGAAGGATTCTGAAGGCTGAAGCAGCATTTGGCAGGTGGAGAAGTGGAAGAAGATCCCAGGTGGAGGGGGCAGAGGAGGAGTGTGGATTAAAAGGGCAACTTGATGAATATGGGTGGTTCTGCCACCCAATAGGAATGACCTTTGGGTGACTAAAAAATGAATTTCTTACAGACTCTACGCTAAGCACTGTTACCAGGGCTTTCCTAATACCATTCAGTTAAACTTCTCCATGATCAATGGTCATAATTTCATTTTATGAAGGAGGAAACTGAGGCTCAGTTAAAGAAGCAACAATTGCCCAGCTTTTAGAGGACATCAGTTCTGCTCTGAGATCAGTTTTCCAGGGATAGTTTGCCTGATAGAGGGGCAGGTGGTGGGCCTCAGACAATTTACCCATGAGATTGCATTCTCATTAGTGCCTATCTTGTCCAAAACTTTGAGTTATTTTTTTTACAGTATCACAGAAAAAACAGAACCATGCCTTTTGTTTACTATTTGCATAGTTGACTTCATCTGTTAATATGTTCTATTTTTATTTCCAGAATTTTTAAGTTCCATGAAGGCAGGGATTTATTTGCTGCAATATGCCTGGCACCTGGATAGTACCTGGCACAAATGAGGAACTCAATCAAATGTCTTTTGAATGAATGAAAGAATGTTTTAGATGCTTAATGCTTTTCCTTTTGGTAGAGCATACCATGATGCTATGGGGGAAGTGAAGCCCACATTCACCGCTCTCCCTCCCTCTACCACCATGCTCCTGGGCAGGTTGTTCCCCCGTCTGTTGTGATTTTAGAAATTCAACACCATCTTCTCCCCACTACATGTCGCGATGCTTCACAGCCCACCATTAAAGATGAATTCAACTCCAAGAAGCTTTTATAAAAATGCAAATACTCTTGAAGGCATCACTATTTTAATGCTAGCAAAGAAAAACTCCATGATTTGTTGACAATTAGCTAACAGGTCCTGCAAAGATGAGACGTAAGATGGCATCTCAGGCTGGTGCCAGACTCACGGAGATCTGAGCTTGAAAGGGAAGGCATAATGGCAAAAGAAATGAGCTGTGCCTTCTTCCCCACTTTGTTTAGTCTGTCAGACTCAGCTACCCCTCAGAGCCTAGGCTCTCAGGAGTTCTGACTGGCTATGCCCCTTTCTAGGTCTTAGTTGTTTCCTTTTAGTGAATTTCAATCACAGGTCCCAGTGTTGAATCCCAGAAAATATGGATGACTCAGAGAAGCCTGCCGGCTTGTTGAATCACAGGACTGTTTAAAATCTAAAGGAGAGCAAATAAAGTATCACAGGGCAGTATAAAATTTCAGACAAAACAAAGAAAAAACCAAAAAACCCTAAAGGAGACGAATTTCTCAATTTCAGTCCCTAAAACACGACATTGCAATTCTGAGTTTTAAGTTGCATGGAAAACATTTACAGGTCCTAAAGGTGCAACCTCTTCTGGATTTCCACATCTATTAAAGAACACTTAGGTAGAAGGGGCAGTCAACAAGGTCCTCTCAAAATCAGGCTTGGAGTTGGGTTTCTGAAAATGTTGGGCATCTGAAGTTCTCAGGCACTGGTCCCTCACCCGTTTCTCAATGCTCTCTTTCTTGCCATCCTGAAATTCGGTACCTAATTTTGCTAAAGAATACAAATCAGTACTTTTGGAAGCCCTCCCCACCCCCAACACAGGTCCCATAGAAACCAAATTGAAAAGAAAAACATCGGAAGTGGAGAGTTTACGCTCCTGCCTTTGGGCCCACTGTCTGATTTCCTTTGGTCTGGGACACGTGGGCCAGAGCTCATTTTCCTGGCTGCTCCCAAATAATCTACTGCTGCTTAAGCTATTGCTTTAAAATGGACAAAAGTAAA